TGTACCAAAGTGAAAAATGCACCATAAAGTGTCAAATGCTAACAATAAAAATATACAGTGAATAAGGAAATTAAAGTCCTGTAAACAGCAATGCAACATGTGTGAGTAATGCAGTGAGTATAACGGCAGCAGAAATAGCAGATAACTGCAAAATCATTTGGAATATGGTGCATGTGATGCTGTATTTTAATAATCCAACAGTGTTACATTTGCTTAAGAAATGTAATACTTCACCGCCACTAGCATTACCCTGGGAGAAAACACGTCTAAAATGAAATTCAATGACTTTTACAAAAACGCCTTTTCACTTGAGATCATTTTCTCTTGCCATAGTGAAAGTGGTGTAAAAAATAGAAAAGCATTGGGTAACAAAAGACAGCATATCAGCAAAGTGATCAGTTCCTGTTATTTGAGGTAAAACAGTTCCTCAGCCACAACACAAACTGCAATCCCCAAAATGTTCTCACAACTGAATAAACATCTTTCTAAAACTGTTGTAACCCAAACTGAATAGTATAACCTCCCTGAAGGTTGAATGTATTGCAGGATGAGTAGAATACTTAAGTTTTGCCTTTATGTATCTAATAAACTGTCATTTCCTGGAAAGACGTGAAGGTAATGTAGTTCAGCTAATTGTACACAGGGTGTCATCATTGGGCTGTGAGCAGCACTGCTGTCATTGTAAGGGAGTCAGGTGAGTAATAAATATATTTACAACTGGCTCCTGTTATGTAACGGCACGTAGGAATTAAAATTACTGTCAAGTAACTTAGATTTTGTCATTTATGAACATGTCAAAACATTATGTGAATAAAAAATAGTAAAAGAAAACTAAAGTAATTCGATTAATTCATTAAAAAATATTGCAAACAATGACTACAGCTACCACTGTTTGTGATATATAGTTATATATAAAGTAAATTATTACATTTAACATTTGCATTCATTACATTTACATTGTATGAGTCACATACTTGTTATTGTTGTTGTAGCTGGCTGAGATAATCTGTATACACATTTTTAGACTTTTCCTTTATGTTATTTTATATATATATATAATTATTGTGAATATTGCATAATTTTCAATTTATTACAACATACAATCAGGACACGGAGCCCCATAATTACAAAATAATTTGTATTTAAAAGTACAAAATATTGTATATTCTTATCCTATGTAATATTGTACAAATCTTAGTAACTGTAGCTGTCACATAAATGTGGATTGTGTATAAAATACAAGTCTGAAATGAAGTCGAGTTGAGTTTTAACACAGCAGGAAATGAAAACGCTTAAGAACCTCATATTTGTACGTATAGTGCTTAAATAAATGTACTTCTGCTTTCATTCACTGGTCATCTGTGCTCAGATTTCCATCATGTGCCAAGCATCTGTTGACAATTTAGTATGAAAGGAAGATTTTGAGAGGATCATTTGAGTTTGGCTTTTACTACCAGCAAATGATAATGATTGACTTGAATCCCAAATGTGCAGTTCCAGAGATGTGTCAAATTATCTGTAATTGCAGCTTGCAGTGGGGATAACTGAAATAAGATACTAAATTTCTGAAGACTGAACAACAGACAGACAGGTGATAAATTAAAGGAAAAGCCTGAACCCTTGACACCTACAGTGAGGGGATTTGGTGACTTTGTTTCGCTGTGGGGGCATTTTGTGGCACGGTTTGGGCCGCCTTGTACCCTCAATGCAAAGCTGTTCTGAGTGATCACCTTTATTCTATAATAAAATATTTCTATCCTGATGGGAGTGGTCTCTTCTAAGATGACGATGTCCCTGTTCACAGGGCTCAAGGGGTCACTGAATGGTTTAAGGAGTATCAGAATAATGTGAATTGATCACCTTTGCTAGATTTTGGACAGATGTGTTTGACAGCGCTCTCCACCACCACCATCAAAACACCAAATGAAAGAAAATCTTTTGGAAGAAAGGTGTTCATACGTCTATTAGAGCTCCAGAGACTTGGAGAACCGACGCCAAGGAACACTGAAACTGTTCTGGCGGCATGTGATGGCCAATCACCTTACCGAAACACTTAATATGAAGATTTTCTTTGCGAGTGAGATTTGTCACACTTCTTTCACCCGTGACTATAAAAGACCACTTTAAAAAGCAAATATGATTCAGTTGACATGATGCCACAGATGACTAGATGAGAACAGGCTGGTGGCATGCTGGATGCTGGGATGCAAGCCAGGCAGTTAAATGTTCACAACTCCCCCATTTGTCAACTAAGAAATTGATTCAGACAGCGCTGGATGGACGTGTCAGTCTAGAATGTAACACTGATTTTTTTAAATAAATACTGTAGCGCATGTTGCATTTTGGCATTTATTTTTTTTATCAGTACTGACCCTGCTAAATTTCAGTTCTTGCCTCGCCCCTACTCCGGCAATACTTGTTAATATCAAAACAAAACTCAAATCTGCATGTGTAAAGTGCACAGGGAGATTTGTTGAAGGAGACAGCCAGCATTTTTACAAATTTTGTAGCTTAGGGCTATTTTAATTTCCCAGCACAAACTGTTACTGATTGTGTTTGCACACAGTTTTAAGTCAAACTGATTTCTGCCTCCGCTCCGTGGTAACGTGCTGCTATTGCAACAGTACAGTATCACTATAATTTTTAACACTGGATATTTGCAGTGTGCAAAGGATGACTACAGTAGTCTGAAAAACTATTTTAATATCACTGAAATGATAGAGTGGATTTAAAACTAGCAGATTACCAGCGTTCACGTTTGGTTCCGATCCGATTTTGGGCAAGAGGAGTTTTGTAGTCCTGTAACTACCACTGAGTTGTGAGTTCCGTATAATCAACCAATGGCGTGCGGGCTCGTCCGGTGACAGCCAATCAGCGTCTTGTCCGATTGATCATTTTCAGGAAGTAGCATAAGTCGGCAATCTTCCACTCCTGAGCCCCGATGATAGTAGTGGGACGTATAGCTAGCTAGCTTCACTTCACACCAACGCAGACTGACCTCAGCTCCCAAGATGGCTGGTGTTCGAGCCCTTGGTGTTCTCTCCAGATTGTCAGCAAAGAGATATGCTCTCCTCACAGGTACAACCTATACGTGTTCAGTATGTAAGACTCACTGAGAGGAGAATGGTACTAAATATTGAGGTTTAGCTAGGTCTCCAAGGTTAATAATTAGCTTGTTAGAATTAGCTGTTAGCGCCACAGAACCCAATAGAGAAATATGCTGTGGTGCACCTTATAACGTGGTCGTGTAGTTTTTTCAGCAAATGTATATCTCAGTGTCAGTTTAACCAAAAATATTCCTGGAAACAGAACTTGTCTGGGTTTTTATTTTAGCCGGCAAACTTGTGTGTAAAGTTGTGCTAGCTAGCTTACTGCTACGGAATCATTCAAGTCAAGGGGCACTGGTTCAAAATGAAGCTTTTAAATCAGATTGTTTGCGTCCTTTTTAAACTGGAAACTGTGCCAGTAAAGACTTTTAGGCAGTGTTTTGACAGTTAAGAGGAATTTGAGGGACTTGTGCCATTCATTCGCCATTGTGTTGGCCGCTGGTCTGTGGCAGGCGGAGAATGTAGGTGAAGGGTCGCTTTCCACGGGATTGCACCGTAAAGCAGAGACAGTCTGAGGTCACAGCAATCTGATGTGACTGTCTCATATACATTTCACCTATTTGTTGTACGAGGACATTTTGTTCAGTTGGAGCTCAAGGGGTTAAAATAATGTTTATGAAGTAGTTGATAAGCAGCTTGGCCATGTGTAGCAAATTGGATGACTTTAAATGTAAATGAAGCTGTACCAATATATCACTGTCTGTCATTTTTCCATTTACAGGCAGTACTTTCCGCACCTTCTCAGTAGTTCCTGCCATGCAAGGTATTTAAAATCACCGTGTGTGTATATAGAATATGACTAAAAATAGTTCAGACTGTTCTGACATAATTACACTTTCTTCTTTCTCTATTTTTAGCCCGAACCCATGTGAACTATGAAGTGAAGGGCGATGTTGCTGTCATACGGATGAATGACCCAACCTCTAAGGTGAGAACTCATTGAAAAAAAAACATAAGCAAGAGTTTAACTCATAATCTGTGCAGGTGAAATGTGAACCGTGTTGTTATCTCCCCTCCCAGGTGAACACCTTGTCCATCCAAATGCAAAAGGAGATGTCAGAGGTGATGGCTGAAGTGTGGGCCAACAATGCTGTGAACAGCGCTGTCCTCATTTCCTCAAAGCCTGGATGCTTCATTGCAGGAGCTGATATTCAGTAAGACAAAACCCCTAAATCCATTCCCACTGAAATATCAAAATTGCTCATCATGTCTTGGATTTTGTGGAATTCTTCTAACGTACTCAACATTTGATGCAGTATGATCCAGGCCTGCAAAGACGCAGAAGAGGTAACCAAACTTTCTCAGGAAGGCCAGAAGATGTTTGAGCAGATTGAAAAATCTCCTAAGCCGATTGTCGCTGCCATCAATGGCTCTTGCTTAGGAGGAGGCTTAGAGGTAAATAAAAGTGATTTCAGCAATCAGCTGTGTGTTTGATGAGGATGAATGATAGTAATGTGTTCTGTACTGGTTTCTTTTTGTATTTTAGTTTGCCATTGCCTGCCAGTACAGAGTTGCAACAAAGAGCAAGAAAACAGTTTTAGGTACTCCTGAGGTCATGCTGGGTCTTCTACCTGGAGCCGGTGGTACACAGAGACTCCCCAAAATGGTATGTACTGAAATTATAATCTGTAAATCTCCCTGATTTGCCTCATTGCTTGATTTTCTTTTAACTAGGAACAAAAACAATACAATACACAGGATGATCCAGAGAATAGCACATGAAAGCATCCTGATCTAGTTATACTCCAGTTAATGCTCATAATTGGTTTAGGATGTTTACGTGCACCTTTGACACTCTGCAAACCAGGAGACGGATTACCCTCCTGGTCATCATGTCTAGTTGTCAACAACCGTGTGCTTCAAAGTACAGGCTACATGAAAACCCATACAACATTTTGTAGTGGTGCATTTTTTAAATATATTACACACAGCTAAAGATACCTTTAATAGTAACTAACATCACGTCTGTGTGCTTTCCTTACCTGTAGGTTGGTTTGCCCAATGCCTTTGACATGATGCTGACAGGAAGAAATATCCGAGCAGATAAAGCCAAGAAGATGGGGCTTGTTGACCAGCTCGTAGACCCTCTTGGTAAAAACTTATTTCATCCTGCATATAATTAAAAACACTAAACTGATTGAAATAGATAATATTTGCAGTTGGATCAGTACTTGACTTTGCTTGATTCAGTCTTTAGGATGAAAGATGCAAACATGTTTGCATGATTTTCTGTTATTTCTGCTCATACAGGACCTGGGCTGAAGAGTCCAGAGGAAAGAACAATAGACTACCTTGAAGAAATTGCCATTGAGTGTGCCAGAGGTATTGCCAATAAGAAGATTTCTCTTCAGAAGCCAAAAGGCACAATGCAGAGTGAGTTGTATTGCATTTCTTTAGTATTTCATTCTGTAGCCAGCCACTTGAGTTTGTCTCATCATGCATAACATTAATGTTCTTTCTTCATAGAAATTCAAGACTACATCATGAGCTTAGAGATTGTGCGGAATCAAATTTACAAAACAGTCCACGGTAAAGTTATGAAGCAGAGCAAGGGGCTTTATCCAGCACCCCTGAAAATCATTGAGGTAAGTAAAAGCACCTTGTGAGCAATAGTTTTGAGCAACTGTGTTTGAAAATACAGATAGGATTTAGGGCTGGAATCATATCACATTTGGGCTAACTTCTGGTAGCACTACCACCTACTAACACTCTAGTAGGTAAAATGTGAAAAAAAAAAAAAAAAAAAGCTTTAACTTGTCCATTTATAGTAAAAGGAGTCATAAGTGTGTAACAATGATCGCACAATTGACCAAAATATTGACTAACAACTTTGTTAATCCGTTAGTCTTAACAAAAGTGCCAGTAGGTCACTGGCCACTGCTTGTCGAATGTGAATAGCTGGTTTTGAAAATCTTGCAGTCAGCTTTCAGACTCTTATCTTCTCTGTTCTGTTGACTGATTTCTTTTTTTGCTGTTTCCTCTTCTCAGTGTGTGAAGACTGGAGTAGAACAAGGGCCCGTTGCTGGATATTTAGCAGAGTCTCAGGTAAGGTTTGTTGGCGTCCATCAATAGCACATTTATCATTTACACTATTAAACCGTGTTAGTGAACATCACCAATCTCTACGTTTGTCACAGAACTTCGGTCATTTGGGAAAAACCACAGAGTCAGGAGCCCTGATTGGTCTGTACCACGGTCAGGTTGCATGCAAGAAGAATCGCTTTGGAACTCCTGAGAAAGAAGTGAAGTGAGTGTGTATGACTTTAGGGCTTGTGTTTGAGGTGGGAAAATTAGCATATGTTTAACCTGTATTTGGTGTTTTAGATCTGTTTGTTTGGTCATGGTTAAATCATTGATGCTGAGCCAAGTCTGATGACCCATTTTAGGGCTCCTGGCTGACTAGAAGTTGGTAAATCAAGCCAAGAGCCAACTTGTTGATGCATATTTATATTTTCTATGTTTCTGGGGGGGATAATGATTTGAATTCCAATGCTGAAAGAGAATGTTGCAAGTAGGCTAGCATTGTTAATACTGTGTTACATTACAGATATTTATATGTAGCTGCAGCTAATAATGAGACTTTAAAATACAAATATTAAAAGCACATGTGTGAAGCAAAAACACAGCAGCAACACAGACAAAAGTGATGGGCCTATATTTCTGACTGTGGTTGAGCAACCAGCAAGAAGACTAAGCATTTTGTGAAAACGCCTGATCATGTAATACACCTCCGATCAACAAAGCAGAGCTGGCGAGAACCTGAGCCTCTGAGAGTTATCACAGGAACTCTAGCAACAGGCTGTCACTGGCCCATCTGGCCCCCCATCAAAAACAGCACTTGCCCATTGCCATTAAATCATCTGCTATTTTCGATTTAATTTTTAGTGGGAGACAAACAGTTTATCTTTGCTCTTTACCACCAGGAGTCTTGCCATCTTGGGGGCAGGCCTGATGGGAGCAGGTATCGCCCAGGTGACAGTGGACAAAGGTGTGCACACAATCCTGAAGGACACAACTGTGGCTGGACTGGCCAGAGGAGAGCAGCAGGTTTACAAGGGGTAGGTCCATTTTCATATCAGACTGTATTTAGTGTTAGACCCACATCCTGGCAGCAAGTATGACTGATGCAGTGACTGTGTTATGTCAAAATAACCATGAACCTTCAGACTGCCTGTAAGATATTTACATTTGACTTTTATTCTGATAAAGGCTCAACGACAAGACCAAAAAGAAGAGCATCACGTCATTTCAGAGAGACTCCATACTGTCCAACTTGACCGGGCAGCTGGATTACAAGGGCTTCGAGAAGGCCGACATGGTTATTGAAGCCGTGTTTGAAGACATAAACATCAAGCATGCAGTCCTGAAGGAGGTGGAGGCTGTAAGTGTGACTGAAAAGTGGCTCAGTAGGCCTTTTTTATTTTGTTTTCTTACAAAGGGATTGTTCTCACTTTGTTGTAAATATCAGTCAGTGTAACTTTGTAGTATAAATCCAGGTTAATGTTTGTTGTGAATTAGCTTAGCTGTCACTTTGAGCTACGATCTTACAAGCAATTGTCTGCAGGTGGTGTCCCCTCACTGCATATTCGCCAGCAACACATCTGCTCTGCCCATCAAGGAAATTGCTGCTGCCAGCAAGAGACCAGACAAGGTTTGCACTTTTGAGACATTACTGTTTAAAAGTTTTCCTTCTAAATTAAATGGAACAATATTGAATGCTTCCTCTGCATCCTCAGGTCATTGGAATGCACTACTTCTCTCCAGTGGACAAAATGCAGCTTCTTGAGATTATAACCACTGATAAGACGTCGAAGGACACCACAGCCTCTGCCGTGGCAGTCGGCCTGAAGCAGGGCAAAGTCATCATAGTTGTCGGGGTGAGATGTGTTCTTTGTGCGAGTCCCTTAGAGAATGTTTAAATTTCTTAGTTAAACATTCAGAATGGAACATAAAAATGAGTAATGGGCACCAATGAAGTTGTACAGTGGTTTAAGGTGAATCTGTTGCAGCTTTGTTAGCGACCACTGTGATTCAAATGATAATGCATGCAAACAGTTGCAGTGTTATTCTAATATAATTAAATGTTGCTCCATTTCTTTACAGGATGGGCCCGGATTCTACACCACAAGGTGTCTGGCTCCCATGTTGGCTGAAGCAGTTCGAGTCCTTCAGGTTAGTATCACAGTACAGAATCCAGCTTAAGTTTAGTGCTTGTTGTTGTTGTAAATACAATTTTTAAAAATACAATAACAGCTTGGGTAGTAAGAGAGAGTGAAGGCCGGCTCATAATTACTGCGTCGCTGTGCGCCGACTTGAGAGCAGACACGGTTCTATTCATTCTGCATTAGGTACATGTCGTTCTGCAGAAGGTCACATTGCTTCTCACATTGATCACGGAAAAAAACAAAAGGTCCTGTGGGTGACTCCGCACTTTTTACAGGAGACAGCAGATAGCTCCAGATTGGGCTGTAGCGTTGTGCCCATCTGGTTATTCCTGAGTTGTGTCGAGTGCGAGGGCAGAGCAAGAACAGGATATCTGGAGAATTTAGAACTCCTGCTGTTTTTTGCGCCTGTCCATTGGAAAGCATGTACAAACCAAAGCACCTCCAAAGTCCAAAGTTTGACTTCTTCATTTACAACTCTTTGATGATGATCTATAAAAGTGTTGTGCTCATAGCATTTGATTTAAGCACCATTTGCAGCACACATGATCACCTCCCCATGTGAACTTGGGAAGATGATAGAAGTTGCATCAGGCAGGCATTTGTGTTGACATGGACAGAGTCAACATAAAGTATTTCAGATAGCTGTCAGACATATTATTAATCTTTCCTTTCACACGTACAGGAAGGAATTGACCCCAAGAAGCTGGATGCCCTCACCACAAGCTTTGGTTTCCCTGTGGGTGCCGCCACACTGGCTGATGAAGTCGGTATTGACGTCGCGGCCCACGTCGCTGAGGACCTCGGCAAAGCTTTCGGCTCCCGCTTCGGTGGTGGAAATGTAGATGTTTTGAAGACCATGGTGGATCTGGGATTCAAGGGTATGGGCGGTCATATTGAAATATAGTGCCCAGTTTTACTTGTACGTTGTGTATTAAATGTATTCATTTGTGCTTCATTAATTGTCAAGGCCGCAAATCCGGAAAGGGCTGCTACGTCTACCAGCCAGGAACCAAAGTTAAGGAGGTCAACCCAGATATCGGAGACATCCTGGAGAAATTCAAGATAGCGGCAAATCCTGCTGTGTAAGGCGACACTGATTAATTGCAGAAGCAGCAATGCAGCAATTTAACGAACACATTCCACCTGCTTTGTACATAAAATTGTTCATACATACTGCATTGCACTGCACTGTTCTAGCTTTTTAGTGTTAACTGAATAAAACCTCTTCTCATTTGTGAATCTTCTTCCAGTTCCTCAGACTCCGATGTGCAGTACAGGCTCGTTTCCCGATTCGTCAATGAGGCTATAATGTGTTTGCAAGAGGGCATTCTGAACAACCCCTTGGAGGGAGACATCGGGGCTGTGTTTGGGCTGGGATTCCCCCCCTTCCACGGAGGTCAGAGTTCAGCTTGCATCCTGGTCATCTGAGCTGCTTGTGCTCAGTAGATCATCTATCAGTGGAAGGAGCGTAACCTTTTAAATGGGTCTCCTTTGGTTCTTCAGGAACAGCAGTGACAAAGCATTTTAGGGTCTAATCAGGATTGTAGGACAGCGTAACTCTTCTGCAAGTGTTATCTTTTAGTCCTGTTCCTTACCTGATATTTCCAGAACTCTTCTTTTCATAGATTAATGAAACAACCCTAAAGCAATTTCTTTGTTGTCTGTTGTGCTAATGCGATAAGATAAGCCTTTTATTAATCCCGCAGTGGCGAAATTTGCATTGTAAAGGGATTGTGCAAACATTTAGGAATTATATCAGTACAAATATATAAAATAAACCCAAGTAGCAGTTTTAGAAATGACAGTATTGCACATATCACTTTCATGATGAGAAATGCTGAGAGAAGGATTAATATTGCACAGATTTTTATCTATGTTGCACATATTTGTCCATATAGCACATTTTTTGGTCTATATAGTAAACAGACATCGCACAGGGGTTTTTAAATGTGCAAAATATTCATATTTCACAGCTAAGAATGTGTTCATATTTCTAACATATCATCCTTCTTCCTCCAGGTCCCTTCCGTTTCGTGGACACCTTCGGCGCCAGCAACCTGGTGGAGAAGATGAGGAAATACGAAGAGGTCTACGGCAATCAGTTCACACCATGCCAGCTCCTACTGGATCACGCAAAAGATTCCAGCAAGAGATTTCACAAGTGACCGACTCACCACGCGTGCCAGTAGCTCATAAGGAAAACTCCAGTCTGCCACTAGAACGTGCCTAACATTTATATCATTTGTAGGGGCAATACACCTTGTTGGCAGTTTAGTGGGCTCACCTAGCCTAAAGTGATGCCGTCTTGCAGTAAATCCTACCTTCACGTAAGCTGTAATGATCTACTTTTTATTGCAGGATGCAGTTTGTGGCACTGTTAACTCGTGTTATCGCAGCTGAACTGTAACGTAGCCTACAATCACTGACAAAAGTGGAATATTACGGTTTTCATGAATATCAGATTGTATTAGTTTTCGCCAGGTGTGCCTGATAAACTGGCAGCTGAGCAGCAAAAATTGGAAGATTTCTTTTTTACTGAAACATTATCGACTGGATGTATAGATTCAGGTGCATAAAGAGGCTAATTATTAACACATCGCATATAAGATATAAGACAAAAGAATGAAGCTATGTTCCAACAGGCAGTTTAAATTTGAATTATTCATGAATGTCTAGGAGTATGGTTCAGCGAGTCTCTCTTCTTTCTTTTTTGTACATTGAACACTTCCCTGGCTTGGTTTGGACATTGATGTAAATGTGAAAGCTTGAATTAAAAATTTTGTTATTGAATCAAACCTGCTTGTGCGTTTGAGGTGCGTTCACGTGCTGCCGGGAGGGTAATTTATCACCGTTACAGAATTGGGACCATGAGGGGATGCGCTCGAATCTAATTCGCTTGCGCAGGTCACATGTCTGATTTCCATTGTCCGCAGCGCAGGGTGTGTACAGCGGGGAGGCTGTGTGGGCTGGGTCGCTCGGGCTGGGTGTTTTTCTCCACTAGCAGAAGCAGCATCATCATCAGCATCAGCATCCTTTAATATCCCGTGACATCGCTTCAGTCCTGAAAGATGCTCAAACCGGAGCGCGCATCTGGATCATGATCAAATTGGCTCACATGATTACGCAGCGACTTATTTGGCTGCAAATTGACGCCGATGCACCTTTATGGAGGAGAATTGTGGCCGCCGCCCCTGATGATGGCTTTTTAGAATGAGGATTCTTTAATTTTTGACCAGACATGTCTAAAACCAAACACTGCGAGGCGGTGAGGGTGGTGGTCCGCTGCCGGCCCTTCAGCAGGAGAGAGCAGACATCGGAGTGCGAGAACATTTTGGCGATTGATGACAAGCTGGGGCAGATCACCTTAAGGAACCCGAAGGCACCACCTGATGAGCCCATGAAGGTGTTCACGTTTGACTCGGTGTACGGCTGGAATTCAAAACAAAGCGACATTTACGATGATGCGGTGAGACCTCTGGTGGAGTCCGTCCTCCAGGGCTTCAACGGGACCATATTCGCCTATGGACAGACTGGAACAGGTAAAACACACACCATGCAAGGGGTCTCAAACGACCCAGACAGGAGAGGGGTCATCCCAAACTCATTTCAGCACATTTTCACCCAAATATCCAGAACTCAGAATCAGAAATACCTGGTGAGGTCATCCTACCTGGAGATCTACCAGGAGGAAGTCAGGGATCTGCTGTGCAAAGACAACAACAAGAAGCTGGACCTGAAGGAAAACCCAGAGTTTGGTGTTTATGTGAAAGACCTGTCCTCGGTGGTGACCAAGAATGCAACTGAGATTGAGCATGTGATGAACATAGGCAACCAGTCCAGGTCGGTGGGCTTCACCAACATGAACGAACGCAGCTCTCGCTCCCATGCCATCTTTGTCATCACTGTGGAGTGCAGCGAAGTGGGGCCGGACGGCGAGGACCACATCCGAGTTGGGAAGCTGAACATGGTGGACCTGGCCGGCAGTGAGCGCCAGAGCAAGACGGGGGCCAAAGGGAAGCGCCTGAAGGAAGCTGCCAAAATCAACCTGTCCCTCTCGGCCCTGGGGAACGTCATCTCGGCCCTGGTGGACGGGAAGAGCACCCACGTCCCGTACAGAGACTCCAAACTCACCCGGCTGCTCCAGGACTCTCTGGGAGGTAACGCAAAGACAGTCATGATTGCAACGGTGGGGCCTTCGCACAAGAACTTTGAGGAATCCCTGGCCACGCTGAGGTACGCCAACAGGGCCAAGAACATCAAGAACAAACCTCGGATTAACGAGGACCCCAAAGACGCCCTGCTGAGGGAGTTCCAGGAGGAGATCGCACGACTGAAGGCTCAGCTGGAGGAGCGAGGGATGCTGGCAAAGGAGAGGAGGAAGAGGAGGAACAGCAAGAGGCTGAGTAGAAGCATGGCTGGTATGGAGGAGGAGATGATGAGGGAGAGGGATGCAGATGTTTGGAAGACTGTGGAAGAGGAATCAGATGTGAAACATTACACGAAAGAGGGAGGCGACTTCTCAAAGGCTCTGACTTGCCAGGGGAGCAGCGAGAAGTTAAAGCACCTGAACGAAAACAGGAAAAGCGTGGAGGACATGCAGTGGGACCAAGACGCTTTGGAGAAGATCATAGAGAAATACAAGGTACCAGCAGTGGTGGAGATGCTAATCAGTGCACTGATAAATGAGACGCTGGTGGAACAAAAGAAATTTGCATTAATAATTTATCGTATGTCTTTGTTCACAGGCGATGGAGAGCAAACTGTTGGTCGGAGGAAAGACTATAATCGATCACACCAACGAACAGCAGAAAATGCTGGAGCTGAAGAGGCAAGAAATTGCAGAACAGGTAAATTACTAAAACCTACTTTTGTGTTACTTTTCAAACTTAAACAGAGAGATGTTTTTTTTTTTTTAAATTCCTTTAATTGCTAATCGTGTGTTGCTTCTGTTCAACCTTGATGTGCTGCAGATAAGACGAGAACGAGAGATCCAGCAGCAGATGATGCTGCAGGACGAGGAGACCGTAGAGATGAGAGAGACGTTCACCTCCCTGCAGCAGGAGGTGGAACTCAAGACAAAGAAGCTGAAGAGGGTAAAGATGACTCACGCAGTAATGTGTCCCAGTGGCATCATCGCAAAAGCAATTACTTTACAGTTAATCCTATTTGCAATGCAGAATCCCATTTAAACAAGAGATGTAAATAGACGAGACGGTGGTTTCTCTGGATCCGTTTACATTTTTTCATTTTCTTTCAGATTCAGATTTACTGCATCTGTGTTTTTATGTGAACGTTTTTTTTTTAAAGTCCAGCTGTAATGACGTGAGCGTATCCGTTGTGTATAGCTGTACGGCAAACTGCAGCTGCTGAAGGGGGAGATGAGAGACATCATCGATGAGCACGTCACAACCAGGCAGGAGCTCGAACAGACGCAGAACGAACTCACCAGAGAGCTCAAGTACAAGTGAGTACGCACGGATACATTATGAAACTTCTGTCATTAGTACGCACAAGTTGGTGTTGGCGTGTGGCTTCAAAACTTTATCTCACATTCTCTCGTATATGAAAACAGACAAGACCTTTGTTGTGGGATCTTTATCTGATCTGACCTTCACTTATACTCTGTATTTTCCTCCCACTGGCATGTATGATTCTGACTGAGGTGACTTGCTTCTCGGATGACGCACATTTTGTCTAGTTTCAGTTCGAAATGCATTATCCAAATAGAAACTGTAACATAACACCGTAGTCATGAGGTGCAGGCTCCCTGATCGTGCTGTGTACATGCAGAAAGTGCCATGAAATAATAGCATCTTGTAACGCTCCTTGATTCGTCCTTTTTTAGCCAAACGTAAGATTTGCTCGGATTTTCTCGACTTTAATAAATAACAAAAAGGAGAAGTGCTGTTCTCACTCTGACTATTTTTTTGCTTCCCACAAAGATTTACACCACAATCTCCAAATTCATTTAAACTTGGGTCATACGTGGATGCTGTCAATGATGGAAGAAGTATTCAAAAGTACCGATACAGTGAAAATATTCTATTAGAAGTAAAAGTCCTGCATCAAAAACCTTACATAAGAAATAGTACAGTCTGCATTTAGTGTGGTCAAAGTAAAAGTACCGGTTTAGTCCCTTTGACATGTTATATATGACATGATTAGATTACTACTGGGTGAAACATGAGTGTGTCAGCAGCTTGTTAGTGTTGTAGCTGCTGCAGGTTTGAAGCGGAAGATTATTTTTTTTACTGAATATTGTTGACTTTAAGTATAAATTAAAGAACATATGCAGGCTAATGATTTACACATTGCATATAAGATATAAAGAATCCAGGCACACGCAAAACTTAAAAAAAATGTATTTATTTAATACCCTTTGGTTTACTCCAAACGCGCTGTTTTACACGTAGTAGTTTATCACTTATATTCTTTCCACAATCCATTGCCCTTGTTTAAATGCATATTTGTGCAGAACTTTAAGAGCTAAGTAAACACAGGAGTCAAATTCCTTGTATGTGTTCTCATACTTGGCAAAAAAGTTCATTGTTATTCTGATTATTTAACTAGCTAGGAACTGTTTATAATGAAAAACAAACTTTTTACATGGCCTTGCATCTTGCATCAGGAATGCAAATAATTCAGGGCTGCTTGTTTGCATCCAAGATAATACAAATTACATTGTTGCACAGTGTGTATAAAGAATTGACCAACTTTTTTAAAACTCTGTGGGCTATGCATTAAAATATGTATGATGAGATTGCATTAATGTTACACAAGAAGATACCAGGTCTTTTGATGTTTAATCTGTAAAAACATTGGTTTTCTCTGCATTTATTTGTCTTGTTGTATCATTGAAATGCCCTGGTTGAGCTCAGCTTGCACTGACTTGTGTTGCATGTTGCAGATATCTCTTGATTGAGAATTTTATACCTCCCGAGGAAAAGAACAAGATAATGAACCGGCTGCACTTTGACAGCGAGGAGGATCAGTGGAGGCTCCAACCCGTCCTTCCATCGCAGAGGTCAGTGAGCAAACTTCACACTGACGTAAGTGACTTAAAGTGGCACATTCGAGAAAGAAAAAGTGCTCGCCGAGTCACTTAGTGCGCATAAGTCCATCACTGAAGCAGCAAAATACTAGCTTTCTCACCATCTACTACCTGAATGCCACGCACCTGCAATGTGCAAGGATAAAAGCAAAGGGTGTCGGTTGTGCTTTTTCTGCTGTAGCCATTATGATTTTTCTGACCTCCACATTTTACACTTGAATGCACCTGAACACTCCCTTTCCATAGGCTGACAGTTAGCATTCTGGGAAATGTAGGAAATGAGTAACAGAAGCATACAAGGATACTTCAGAGAGGTCTCACCCAGAAACAAGTGATATAACTCCTATTTTGGGGCATAAGTGTAAACAATAAAGCCTTATATTACAGTCCATAAAATCTCAAATGGTTGAAACAATCAAAGCAAATGAAGAGCTTCTAACTGGGGTGCTGTTGCTCCAGGACAATGCATCTGTCCACAGAGCACAGGAGGCACAAGCAGCCAAGTGTGGCTTTAACCCTGTTCAGGACTTTCATGTTGTCATATGTAGAAGGTCCACTGGACCCCGAGAAAGAATATGTGCAGAATGTTTGTTGGTACTCATTACAGACTTTTATAATCTGTTGAATAAATTTTGGTTCCAAATGCATAACAAATGTCCCTCTTTTTATCTTTAAAAAAAAAAAAATCTTCAAAAATAGAAAACAATACCTGCTACCTAAACCAAATGGCCTGGGGACCAAAAGACCCCAAAAGTCCTGAACAGGGTTAAACTGTTGCTTCGTGCACCTTACTGACCCGACCTGCACCGTCTGACTTCAATTTCCCAAACTCAAAGTCCACTGGTGTAGTTTTCAGAGTGATGAATGAGTGGAGAGGCTGTGGGCTCACGTTGTGGTGCAGCTCGAACATCGGTGGACCAAGTGCACTGAATTTAAACATGAGAGATTATTTTGAAAAATAATAGAAAAGCAATCTTTCTCCTGATTGGTGGTGAGGCTGAGAACTTTTTAAAGTATACAGATGAAGCAGGCTCTCGATTATCATCCAAATGCAAATATCATGCATTTAGTCATGCTTCTGAAGCTGTTGTTGTTTTGGGGATATTTGGTGAACTGCTCCAAATATCAAGAACAAATTTAACAAAATAACACTCGTCAGTCAATGTATCATTGCAGCTAAGTGCAATTTTGTAGACTTTGCATGTGATTGTGGCACGTAAAGCCATATCTTTTTTTGCATTTTTTCAGACTTAACGTCGTTGCAATATCTCCTTTTCTACATATATTAAAACATGTACAATATCTACGAGACAAATGTGCAATATTAATCCTTCTCTCAGTGTTTTTATTGATGAAAACATCTGTGCCGTACCACTGACATGTGCAATACTGCTGTTTCTAGAACTCGTACTTGTGTATATTGGTTTATTTTTTATTTTTCTACTGGTGTTCCGTGAATGTTGTGTTCTTATTTTATTATATCTTCATGCCACCACAGGGAGTCACCCGAGTAAAGAAAATGTCCAGTCCTACACACAGGAACCTTAACAGCCTCTAATCTTACCGGCTGTAGATAATTTATGTAATACGTCTTCCCATGAACCTGATATCTTTGTGCACAAAGAAGAGCAGACAGCTCGGCCTCCTTCGATTTTTCAGAGCGGCTGAGTGGAAGATGACGTAAGGTAAAACACCAGTAGTGATCCCTCTGTTGTGAGTTGATCACTTGACCATGGATGAAGGTTCCAGAGGTTTCCATCGCTGCTGCCACACCAAGACTAAGTGCAATTACAGTAACACAATCTAAACCCATCCTTTTCCCATGTCTTTCTTTTCCTCTTTAGTACACCCACTCAGGTCAAGAGAAGGCCTCTCTCCGCTGTGGGATACAAGAGGCCAATCAGCCAATATGCACAGATGGCTGTTGCCACGGCTACTGGGGCCCCATCTAGATACCAGGTCAGTGCTCGGACGTTCACGGGGCCAGTTGGCAGGGAAAGAGTGAAGTAGTGATTTGATTTCCATTTCCATGTTCACAGCCGCCTTCTTCGCCGGAGGATGCGAAGACGGCCGTAGCCATGGAAACTATTCACAGATTTATCAGTTGCATCTTCAGCTAGTGAAGCATCAATTTTAAGGTCACAATGCTGATGCTGTCAGTTTACCAAATAAAAGCCAAAATCATAGCAAAGATTGCAGCCTGCGAGATTAAATACAGATTTACTTGCAGCGATAAAAAACAATGTAGTCGTACAACTCGGGGGCGCTTTTGAAAAATGAACAACAATCCTACTTTTCTGTTCTGCCTTATCATTGTTTCAGATGCTGTTTATGAAACTGGACATTTCACGCATATTTTTCAAAATAAAAGCTTTCAAGAGAAGGAAGTAAACTAGAAATGATGCAAGGTTTTATGTGTAAAATAAATTCAGGTAGTTCTAATTAACAGCAATGAGACAATCAGATCAGAAAAAAATGTCTTCTCCAAAAACATGATTCAATACCTACAACTTCACTGCCATGTGTCCTTCCAGGCTGAGAATATCATGCTGTTGGAGTTGGACATGTCGCCACCAACCATGTTCGCCTTGAACCTTCACGGCGCTCACCTGGAGAGAGCCTTTTCTCCCAGGCTGATACAAGATCTCCTGACAAACGTTCCCATCCGGGAGAGGAATGCTGCTTCATCATCATCTTCATCAAGATCACGGGTCAGGAAGTCCCAGTCCTGGTAAGAGAACAGCAGAGGCTGAATCAAAAACAATGAAAGTTCTTGCTTTTCTAATGATAAAAACTGGTAGAAATACTTCTGGCAGCAAGCAGAGGAAGTGACTAAAATTAGAGCCACCCACAATTGACAAGTAGATGAAGATAAATATTAGAAATATATGTTATGGAAAGATTGTAACTATCCCTCAAAGACCAAAAGGAAACTGGACTGAGTACATTAAACATACATTAAACAGAATAACTGAGTGACAATATCATGTTGTCTATATTACTGTATAACAGCTCATCTTTGTCTATTCTTATTCTATTTATTCAGCATTGTTATTAGTTTTTTAGGTACCTAAGGTGAAAACTTCCCATGTGAAATTTTAAATGATTGACCAATGCTTTGGAAAAGTCAGGCTGCAAAGTTATAAAACTACAATATGTTTAATTTTAAGTGTGCATAATGTGAATATACTTGCAACAACACTGATAGTTTGTAAAATAAGTGTTTTTACAAACTAAAACAAATGAAAGAAATAAAAGATAGTTGTTGCATTAATTCAGGATCAGTGAAGATTTGATATTAAACTGTATTAAGTTTTGCAATCACACCAGCTTCCCATACCAGGAGGGTTTCTTAATTTTTTGAAAAAGCAACAAACCGAATGCACTTTACATCTATTTGAATAATTTTACCGATTTTGGCATTGGATGGGACACTACAAATCAAACACAACATACCTTATATAATGATTTTTTTTGGTGTGATCTGCAGGTATCAAGCACCACAAGCAGCGTCCGTCCCGTCATCCTCGTCATCCACTGCTCTGACATCAGGACCTCAGAGCTTCTTTCCCCCTCAGAGACAAAGACCATCCTCTGCTGCGTACCTTCCGTCAGAGGTTCCAGCTCAGACAAGCCCATGATTTGCATTCATACACCTGTACTGTGGGCGTGGCCTTACTTTAAGGTGGCACAAGCGAATCCAGCTTAGCTAAGGGGCCATCTGGTAGAGATGGAGGGAAACCGTAGGTCTTAATTTGATTTTATACCTGTTTGGAGAAGCTCTAGTTAGCATGTGCCGGAAAAACAGATAGTTGTGGATGGATTTATTTTTTCTATCTTTAATCAAGAGCGTTGTCCTTCAGTTTCAAGAGCATTATTTCTGCATATTATGTTTAGATTTTTGTATTGCTTGCTTTTAAGATAGTGCCTCTCTTAAATAACCCCTGCCTGGGGGCAAATCTGTTGCTGCACAGATGTCCTGTGCTTCAGTTTGACAGCGTCTCCTCATGCTCAGATCGCTTCTGTGCGCTCGCAAAATCACCGCTCTCGGATTTGTGCTCTCGCGGTCGGACCTTTTTGAAACCACCCTGGCAACATTCTCCTACCAACAGATCTGTACGACCAGGTTCATCCACTCCCAGCCTCCAGAAGTAAAGCAAACACACCTGCAAGGAGGTCATTTCATTGGTTATTGCCATACTATTGGCATTTTATTGCTTGGATGATTTTGACAGTTTTACAAAAGTTTGTGAGGGCACAAATCTGGGAGCAGAAGTTTCACAAGTGCACAGAACCGATACGAATGCAAGGACGGGCATTCAAAGACCCTTTTCAGACATGCATTCCATTCCGTTAATCTGACAGCAGTTTACCCTGGTCACCAGCATTCTTCCTCAGTTGAACCTATTAACAATTCTGTAGCACTTTCAACACAACAACAAGCAACTTTCAACAAGTCTGAACTGAACCATCGCATTAACGAATAGACACGGTACTTTGAGTTGTGTGAAGTGATTAAGGGAAAGATTTTTCCACGTTTCAGCCCCAATATTAATCCAGAAACATCACAGCAGAGAGTTTGTGTGCATTTTTGTTTTGTGATTTTAAATCGATTAGGCTACAAAGTGAAATTTCCATTTTATTGAAAGTTAATGCAGTAAAAATGGACATTAAACTGAACATTAGTACTAGGCTTTGAGGGAAAGCATTACAAAATGTGCATAATGCAGAGACAATGCTTACAAATGAAAAGCTCTTGATCAAAGGTAGTAAAATAACTCCATAAAAAGTGATTTTTTTTTATTTAAGAATGTTTGCCTTTATTGCTTCTGTTGCCTAAACCGTGCAGTTTACCTAAACAGCAAAGCCAGACCTTTTAGGTGTCACATATAATGACAGTTTATTTATTTTATATGATTTTTTATCAAGTATTTCCCCCCCGAGTTGCAACACTTTAATGATTTTTTCTTGCACAAAAGACTGTATCTTTGCCAAAACACTGAGGGCGACGAGGGTTTTTAGCCTGTATGCTTGATGAACTGTTGCTTCTGCCAATGTAACCAATGTGAGCCAAAAAAGAACAAAAAAAAAAAAAGAAGCGAGGAAAGCTTGCAGTGCTCTCTTGATTAGCTGCCTTATTTTTTCATAGTTGTGAAATTGTGCAAAGCCCATTTTGCTTACACATGAAAAATAAACAGACTGAAATAATATTGAAGTGGCTGCTGTTTTTTTTTTTTTTTTTTTTTTTTTTGCAAAGAGCTGCGGTCTTGTTGTCGTAATTGTATTTGACAGCAACATAAATAAATGTGGGAAACTTGGAGACTGGAGGGCTGACAGCTCCATACAGTAAGATGACGTTTCCTTGCGGGGTCACATGACTCTTTACAGTAAGTCCAACATGGCAGACGGAGTGGATCTTACGCGGTAACTAAAGCAACATTTCAACTGAAACACACACATTTCTGCACTACCCCGCAACAGGACGTCCACAATGAGGGAGAGACAGAAGAAAAAGAAGGGGAGGACGTGGGCGGAAGCCGCTAAAACGGTATTCTGCGTGTTTTCGTGCGCCGTTTGTTGCGGTTGTTTTCCTTGAACGCTCCCACTTTGTACAACTGTGTTTATGAGTTCATGACCTGCTGCCTGAAATGTTGCGTACAGCGCGCAAGGCCCGTGTTGACGGTTAGGAGCGCCGCTGTCACGTTAGCCGCGCAGCCCGCTTCGTGTTGTCACCTCCCGGGCCACGGATGTCAGCGAAATAAACGTCCACTATGTGCACACAAGCACGTCTCCGAACCTGTCGTGTGCGTTTGTCCTCGACGCCACGGCTGACATGTCTCGTACGAGCCTCAAGTCCCCGTAAAGTGAGCCATGGAACAGTGCTGCGCGCTAGCCGGGTTAGCACTGAGCTAACTCCTGCTAAGTCCGTCAACAAGTTAGTTTGATACCGTTTGCGAATAAAACGCATTAAAGCGCACAGTGGGCTCAATAAACCGACTTGCTTCGACTCTGTAAAAGATGACAAAGTGAATCCATTGCATGCCAACGTTTGGCGACAGTACAGAAAACAGTGCTAGCGTTGCAGCTAGCTATGTAGCTTAGCATGCTAATGAGTGGAAAATGTCAAAACTCCCTGCAACAATTTCTGAATTAAATTATAGTTCTATAGCTTGAATAGATGTGCATTATGTCCAACCCCAAGAATTTAACCTCCAGAATCAAGGACCCAACACCTGTAACCATACATTTGTTTTGTTAGGCAAAAAAATAAACAAAAATTAATTATATTTTTTAAAAAGGACACACAAATGACAAAAAGTTACTTGAATGAAATATAGGTAAATGAGTAACTGGGTAATGTATAGTCTATTTAAGAAAAAACTTATACTTCTTCTAGAGGCGATTTTGTGTTCTTTTTCTTCCTTAGATTTTTCATAGGGCATGTAAAATGAAATAATACTTACTGCAACTGAAAAGAGGAAGACAAAAACTTACCACAAGTTTCTTTTTTATAAAATCTCACAGTCAAGATGTGTCTTTATTTACACTTTTGTGCATTTCTGTTGCTTAAGTGATATCCACTCTCAGTGATTTCACCCCCTGAATAAAGACATGACACCTGTAACCATGCAACTGTTTTGTTAGGGGGGGAAATCGTAAAGATGACTATTTCTTCTGAAGAAAGGCATGAAAATGACAACAAACAATTTCTTGAATGAAATATGAATGACTGGGTAGTGGCAGCTGCATATGCTGTAGTGGATAGTTTATTAAGGGAAGAAACTTTTACTCCTTTCGCAGATGTTTCTGTATTCCTTTTACTACTCTTAGTTGTTTTTGAAATGTGCATTATATTTAGTTCATTTGGATAAGTTTAGATGTCATGTTTTGTATTGGTTGACCTCAAGACAACATATATTGCACATCATGCTGTCCGGAGTCACACTGGTTTTACATTATATACAACAAATAGTTTGCTCACATGACGTGGCAAGATTTTCATGAAGCTGTCAAGTCATGTGAGAAAAAAATTACTTATAAAACATTGTCAACACCAAATGTTGTTGTGGAGTGAAAGTTTCTGTAATACTACAGTACTGTGCAATGCATTTGTTGACACAGTTTGCTTTCAGCTAATGTAACATTCGTGTGTCAGTGCTAAGTGTTTGACATCATACTGCATTCCTTGTTCATGTCATAACGTATGGCAGGGCCTCCATCGATGACAGCATCCCAACCATATGTGAAAGTTAGAGGGTAGTAGTTAACCACCTGTTATTCATTATCAGCATGGTCCACATGGAGAGTGGACCACGATCATGCACTATCTACAATTCATAGCTGACCAGCTGGAAAGACTGTAAAATGTTTGTGATCTTGATTATTTTACCCATAATTTCCGCCGCTTAGACAGTCAAGGGAATTGAGCCTTTGTGGAAGTTTGTCAGAAAATCTAAGCAGATGGAATCTCATGCTGCACCAGGGGTATGTTATTTTAAAGTCTTTTATGTTTTTCTCAGTAATCGTTATTTTTTATTATTGTAGGTTTTGGAGAAGTACCCCAATACGCCTATGAGCCATAAAGAGATCTTGCAGGTGATCCAAAGAGAAAGGCTTAAGGAAATAAGGTAAGCATGTTCCTGGAATTCTAGCTTCACAACCGCGAGTACCCCTCAGACAGGAGACATTTTCACGAAGGAGGCAGCGCCACATCCTTCTCCCCTCACATCATGTACTGTTCTTGTTCATATAGTCGCGTTATTTTACCCAATTAATAACTGTCATTTCTTTTTGTTTCATTGTCACTGTTCTCATCCAGAAGGTAAGACAAAGCTAGCCCCCCACCCCACCCCACCCCTTACCTTAACAAACTCACCGCAATGCCGTTTTGTTTGGATTTACCTTTCTGCATGTTATTAACAATAACATGTCCTAGGTTCAGTTGCATAAAACGCAATGTTATACTTGTATTCATAGTTTTACTTTGGCTTTCTACAGTCACCTGTTGCATAAAAAAATATATTGTCCTTGTTGTTTAACAGTATTTCTGTAAATTAATGAGACAATGCAACTGAAAAATGAAGCCATGTGCAAACCTTACAACAACGTGAAGGATCTCTCTCTAACTCATTGAATTTTGTTTTATCATGTTGCTCAGGTTTCTCTAAGTTACATGTCACACTGTGTAAAGTAGCACAAATGTAAGTTGACAAAAAAAATAATACTGGGTTCGCTATATGCAAACTTAAATTTCTTGCATGACTGAAGTGAAGTTTGTCTAAACGAGTACGGATTTTTATGCAACAGACATTTATTTTGTCAGACCAGTTCAATCCGGTAATCTCGGTCCTCCACAGCGACTAGATCAGCTTTGAATCAAATTTATGCAACTGATTTCTCATAAAACACAGAGCAAATTTCCTCCCAGCTGTATCGATGCAAACCTGAACCTGAACTCACACACGTCCTCCTGATGCATGATAGCAGTTTCTCCTCAGATATCAGACCAGCCTTTGCCCTTCTTTTCCCAGCTGTCTGATTTATTGTGGAACAGATGCGTAATTTGCCTTTTTCTCCCGTGATCCAGTGGAACTTCGCCGCTGGCATGTCTGAATGCGATGCTGCACACAAACTCTCGTGGTGAGGAAGGAATCTTCTATAAAGTTCCAGGCAGAATGGGAGTCTACACGTTAAAGGTCAGTTTGACACAAAGCACCTTTCATTACTCAGCATGTGAAAGGTGCAATGACGAAGTTCTTTGCTAACTGTGGTGGCATCTGGACACAGTGAAATATGCATACTAATGGAGTTAGCATCATGACGGGCTAGTAAAAGAAAAATATGTTCAGGCAACTTATAAAAGCTGTGCGTGAAGAATGAGTGTGATTGGACTGTATATTCAGGAGAGAGTTTTTATTTCCTTTTTTTTTTATCTCTGCTTGGCTGTTCCTCATCTCTATCTCAGAAGTAATATTCAGTATGTGCTCTATTTTTCATGCAGAAGGACATCTCAGATGTGGTGAAGGAGCTGTCGGAGGAGGGCTCTGAGGATAGCAGCGATAATCTCTCGGACTCCCGAAGCTCAGAAAACAACAGCAGTGCCATCACTCAAGAGGGCAGGAGAGGAAGGTGGATGCGAAGAGGTACTGTGCACTGCATGCAGGTTTACTAATAATAGTTTGTACATCACTACACGACCAGAATACACATGAGCAGGAACGCAGTCATCGTTATTACATCCATGCTTCCCCCACCTTGACAAGTCACAGTATCTGCTGTAAAAACGGTATTTCTGGTGAACCAAGAAAAAGCTATCTTGCAACAGAGAAACGTATCAACATTTGCTGACTGGTTTGCTGTCATGGTCTACTGGGACACCTAATGGAACTGAAGCATCATTTATTTCATGTGTTCTTCCCTCATGTAAGCACTCATGTTCAAACTAAATTGTTAGGACTCAGCTAATTACAGTTTTGCAAGACATGAAATGTGTCATTCTTAAGTTATGCTTAATTTGCAAGCTGAGTATTGCTAAATACTAAATTAAATATGTTTTCACTGTCTTAAAAAGCACCTTTTAATAACAAGCTCTCTTTATAGTATAAAACGTCGGCATTCTTTCTTGTTGCAGTATCGCTACTGCTGTTCAGTAATCATTGACTGAACCTTCAACAGCATTGTCAGAAGTTCAAAACACAATAACTGTACAGCCCTTCTTGTTAGCTGATTGGTTACCTTCCTCTGTTATGTCAGTTCGAGTCGACGCCCCCTTTTCAGATGTTGTTAAAAGTTGTTGCTGAAACACAGGAAGCCAGCCGAAGTCGCAGTAGACCACACAAGCTCAGGGAAAGTAGCTTCACCACAAACATCGATCAAACCATCACAAAATATTTCTTGGAATACACTGAGCACCAAACATGATGATAGCAAAAGGTGGGTTTTATCTTTAAACAAACATAGTTTGTCCCTAATACTGTCCAGGTAATGGCCACATGTTGGTCACATCACAGCAGTTTTTGCGCTTTCAACTATCTGTGTTGTTAAATGACGGCTTCTTGTGTAAGCTGCGCACCTGATTGAGCCTGATTGCAATGGAAAATCGTAGAATGAGCTTTTCATCAAGTGCCAATTATTTTGTTTTCCTCAGGTTGCACTCTCACTGACTCTCATTATTTCTCTATGCCACTTGAAATATTTTTAAGTGTCTGTTAAAACAGGAAACTGTATTTTCTCAGTGTGACCCGTGACCACTTCCTCATTATGCACAAGTTAGAGACTGCCAAGCAAATAACCTTGGTTTACAGCTGAGTAGGAGGGCTGTGATATTGTTTTATTTTTGAACTAATCAATGCAAAGAACCACAAAGTCAAATGCAAATTAAGCAGCACTGAAAAAGAAACAAGTGGAACTGCTATGGTATGTAGAAAAGGTGTTTTTATCAGAAATTCAGATACAGAGAGAGAGAGAGGGCTTGTTCAGAACAAATTCCTCTTGAGATGTTCAGCCTATTTTCAGTAATGTGATAGTTGAGTAAGTTAATGTAATCTGCGTCTTTGTGCACAGTATTGGTTTCAGTTTCTTCTAAACAATAGCATGATGTGATAGTCTGTGCACCACCCTCAGGAAATGTATTTTGTAACATCTGTTTCGTGCTTCTGTATTTCATAGTTCCCTCCAAGCTGCAGTCACAGCCGTCGTCTCCGCAGCCTCGATGCTCGTCACCTTCTGTCCCCACCAGTAAGCTCATCTCTCCCTCGCAGAAACACAGCAAGAAAGCTTTGAAACAGGTACTGGAATCACATTCTGAATTTCTTCTTTGTCAGCTTTACATGGGTTTAAGTTGTTGCTTAGTCGAGTTAATGCATCCCCGTTTGTACAAGTACCCGTCTCAGATGTAACATGAGTTCCTGCCACACCCTCCTGCTAGCATAGACCGTCATAAATCCCTGCTCCCCCACTTTGCAACACACAAATACGTAGTTATTAAGCATACTAATGTTTTCATGTATTTTTTTTGCATGAATTTACGAAACATGGTGTTTTTAAATTCAACTCCTACTCATAGTCGTCCTCAGAATTCACTGCTTATATCAAAACCTTTGCACTGCTTTGTTTTTATGCAACAAGTACACAACACATGTTTGTATTTGTGCAGACTTTCTTCTTCTCCTTGTCTGACATCTTGTGCTGATTACCTAAACAATGAGGGAAAATAACTGCCTATAGCTGGTTTTACAGTATTAATGTTCTCGCAATAAGCCACCCATTCAACATTTTCCTATTGGCTGCTTTGTGTCTTTTGTGTTCCATTTAATTAGACTTCATGTGATTGCACAGATTGTAATTCACTCCATCTGTGCTGGTGTGGAATTTTCAGCTCCCTTAGACCAATTTTGTATTCATTTATTGGGCGTAGGTAACACTAGAAGACAGCGATTTGGCTAAAATATTAGCGCTGGAAAGACCTATTGTGTGTTTCTCTTCTGTTGTTTGCTATATGCTTCAATCAGCTGAAACTAAGGGACGGCGGCGCTCAGTGGACTTCTTCTCGCAGTGCTTCTTCAATCTGTTTACATTGTGTTTTGCGAAGTGATCAGATTTCCTAACAGAAGAGATGATTTATACTCGTGTTATGCAAGCTTTGTTTCATTGCTGCATTGTTATTTAGCTGTTATTTAACCAGGCGAGTAGCCCTGGGGGAGCAGTTGCAGGAAAACTGAGGGTTACATATAATCACACTCTCTTTTTCTCACACTGCTGGATATTTGTTTCTTTTTATTTTGCTCGTTTTTAGGCCTTGAAGCAGCAGCAGCAGAGAAACCAGCGCAGACAGGGGGGAATGCCAACCGCCTCCAGCCCTAGACTGCTTCTGAAGACCATCAAAGATATGGCTGATAACATTACAACAAAGACTGGTAGGTGGCTGCTAATATATTGGACTGTATGTTGGAAAATGATATTAGTAGTCGCACTCTGGGTTTATGTAACATACCTACATGTAGCTCAGAGAACCGAGGTGTGATTTCACTCTGTTTGGATATTTTACTCATGTTTGTATTACACACAGTTCTGGAGATAAATGACTGATATCGATGCAGTTCTTGGACATTGTCCTGTTATTGTGGGTTTTCATAACCAGACAACAAAAGGCGTTGTATCATCATCATCATACAAACATGACTCATAGAACTGGCAGCATTAAAGTGGAAACTGAAGCTGTCAGATCTGTGTCCTGCAATTCTCTCAGCCTTTTTTTCCCCTCCCGTCCGCTCCTCTCCCTCTTTCCAAAACAGACTTATGCCATCCAGTCGTGCCCAGGAAGGTTTCCCAGAGGTCTGGTCGCCTCAGTGCAGGTAAATTAGACAACTGTTTTCATTAACTGTGGTTTGGAAATCTTGAGGAATAAGGCTTGGCATGCTTCATAGAAAAGTTAATATTGACCTGATCACTGTGACAGGATTTACGTGTGTTGCCAGAGCCTGTTATAACATATTCCTTTTTCCTGTAGACCTCTACTGGCATCCAGAAACTATTAAAAACCACTTCTTAATTTAATTTGAATCAGTTCCACATAAATGGTGCTGTAGATATTTATCAGCAAATCCGTGTTCATCCACTGCTGAAAATAGTCCTGAATAACTGCACTATTTACTACTATTTATAGAGTAATATTTTCTAAAAACTACAGTGCCCATCTGCTGTCTGCACTATTAAATATTTATCTCTATGTTTAGCAGAAAAAAAATAGCTTAAGGTTTTGTCAGAAATTATTGCAAAGACATTGCTGGTTTTGGTCTTATCATGGCATTTGTTGACAGTAAGAAAATGTTGAGGCTTTTATTTTGAAAATGCCTTTAAATAATTTTACAATTGGTGCAAATTTAAATAGTTTCTGAGTGCTTTCATAGATCTCGAAAGAGTTAAATGCATTTTTTTCTAGATATGTAGAACTAAGTGATCAGTAAGATCAAAACAAGTGCAACTAATTATATGACTAAACTTGAAAATAAAACATTGCTGGTGTTTTGCTTTGCAGAATCTGTCTTGGCTTACATCTATCTGTTTTGTATTGCAGGGCAGATAAAACGTACCAAGTGTAAAATAGATGTGGAGACACCAGACTCTATTTTGGTCAACACCAACCTGCGAGCGATCATCAACAAGCACACCTTCTCTGTGTTGCCTCCAGACTGCCAACAGAGGCTGCTCAAACTTCTTCCTGAAGTTGACCGCCAGGTTTGCTCTAAAATTTTGCGTACTTAAGCGTCTTTTGGATTCAATATCACCAAATACAGAGAGTGTTATAATGCTGCATGAAATTTCTGTCACATAGAATAGTTGGCCTCAGAAAGCAAAGCATTTATTTGAGTTCACTGATTCTAGATGTTCAGCTCAACATCATTTGCAGAATGAGAAGCTGAAGTGGATGTACTGATGCAGTGATGGTGATTGTCATGGCTTTAGTCATAACATTGTGCTTCCTCTCCCCAGGCTTGCTTGGACGGCCTTCTGAAGGTCACTAGCTCTGCCTTAAACAATGAGTTTTTCACATCAGCAGCACAGTCTTGGAAGGAGAGACTCGCTGAAGGTCAGTTCAGTAGCTTCCAATTGATAATAACTCCATTCATTTCACATTCAAAGTAGAGTTATATCACCAAGGTTCAGTGTGAATGTACAGAACAAGCGTAGCGTAATCTGTCTTTTTTTCTTCTTCTTCTTCTTCTTCTTTTTTTTTTTAATTATGTAACTTTCTTCTTTGCAGGGGAATTCACTCCTGAGTTGCAGCTCAGAATGCGGCAGGAAATTGAGAAGGAAAAAAAAGTTGAGCACTGGAAGGAGGCCTTCTTCGAAAACTATTATGGGGAAAAGTAGGTTTTCATGTAGAATTAGAATGTTAATCATTTCTCAATTCACTAAGCCAATTTTGGAAAATTTTAAATATTTGAAATATGTTTCAAATACCAAATGATGGGTTATTTCGAATTAATATCCCAGTGCTAATGGTAATTACAAACAGTAGATCACAGTGGTGCTGTTCTCAAGAATTTTGTTTTCTTTGTGTCATTAATAAGACTGAATATGTGATTTAAGAAATTCAATAACAAACAGTTTGGTGGGATTATTTAGGACTCATTTGAGATTCCAAATACCACATAAACAACACCCTCATCTAATATATCTACATGTTTAATGCTCTTAAAAAAATCACATCTCAGCATGTGAAAATTACCACAAATGAATGGAAACCAAGTTACAAAAACTACAGCATGATGTTTTTCTGTCATCCATAAAACAATACAGGCAGCCTAAATGTTGAGTCATTGTCACACTCAAAGCCCTACATGTGTATTCTCAGTTCCTTTAAAGTGTAGTGTTTCATGAATTCCTGTATTGCTTTCAAGGAAGGCAACACTTAATTCGTGGATTTAATTCCTTGTGTGTCTTTCTGCCCCTCTCTTCTTCCTTTCTGTGCAGTTCGGGGCTCAGCTATGAGGAATCCAAAGAGCTGACAAAGGCTGATCTGAATCAGGAGTCTGCCAGGCCCCATTCCCTCCCTCATCAAACAGGGCCTGTCGCTCAAGCACTGGAGGAAACCAAGTGCACCAAGGACAGCAGTCACACTAATGCTGCTGCTAAAGACGTGAAGCCAACTCAGACATCATCACAGGAGCCTCTGAAAGCACTGCCTGCTCACAAAGAGTCCGTCTCCGCCCCAGAGCCCATGAAGACGCGGCGCTCACAGTATGCTGAGGATCGTAAGTTGAACGCAGCTGGGCCTGCAGCGAGAGCACCAGAGGCTGGCAGAAAAACTGACTGGGGTGCAGCATGTACACTGCCTGAAAAGGAGCCTAAAGAGGACACGAAAGAGGAGAAAACTGAACTCCCTCAGTCGCCCGTGAAGAAAAACCCTCCACCGAAGACTGGTTCAGAGTCAAAGGAGGATCAGTCGCCGTGTGTGGTTAAACCTGCTGTGGAGAGCGAAGAGGTCAACTCTGAGCCCAGTGGACCCTCAGAACCACTGAAAAGGAAATCTCTCAGTGAGACAGAGGGTGAACTGACACCAGAGAAAAGACCTCGAATGTCCTCAGTGTCCTCGGTGTCTTCAGTCTCCTCTGTGTCTCCGTCTCCATCATCTATATCCAGCCCTGCTACGCCAACTCCATCGACAAATCAGAGGGTTCCACCACTTAAGGTAGGAATACATGTTAAACTCTGATCTATCGTCTGAGTGGCTCTGACAAGTTTGTGGCTTGCTTCTTTGCAGAGCATGGCAGCTGCAGTTAACTTGGTTTTACAGTTAGAGTGAAATCCTCGAGCAACCCAGAGTCATGGCAAAAATGTGTCAATGTGAATTTTCCATAGAAATTTCTCAAGTGCATCTGGCAGTTTAGTCTGTATACTGAGCAAGTATTTCATGCTTACTATGTTCCAAACAGTCTTAGCTTCCTTAGCAAATCTCTGAATTTGCTGCAGTGAGTTTGGAAACTGAGGAAGCGACAACATGATGTAGAAGTGGTGTCTTTCTTATATGTTGTTGGGAAATCTTTGAATTAATATGTATAGTGGATGTGTTTCTCAGTTATTTAGAAATGCATATCTGTAAATAACACTGAAGGATCCCGTTTTTTTTTTCACTTTGCAGATCCCGGTTTCACGAATTCTCCCTGTTCCAGTGTCACCAAGCCAGAGCTCACCAAGGACTCCTCTTCCCGCCCCACTCAGCAGCCCTGGCCGAACCGGTGCTCGCACTTTGGCTGACATCAAAGCCAAAGCTCAGCTTGCCCGAGCGCAGAGAGCAGCAGCAGCCGCAGTATCATCTGCATCAAAGGGAGCGGTGCCAGGCCCAGGGCCAGGGGGAGGCAGTGGTGAGCAGACACAGCCATCACCCAGCCCCAGCCCGACGTCCCCACTGGCACCAACCAGGTTAGCAGCCACCAGCAGTAACAGCAGCTACAGCAGCACACCTTCTCCTCGCCCAGTGGACTCTTTCGGTCAGCTTAGCCCAAACCAATCTCAAACATCTTACTCGAGCAAAAGCGATGACAAACACAAAAGTCAGTCTGCTGGTACGGGATCCCAGAGTGTCCAACGGAGCTCAGATGCAGCACAGCCTTCATCTGTGCATGCTATGAAGGAACAGGAAATCCCGTCAGCTGCCGGATCATCCAACAGAACAAGCTCCTGCATCCCTGCAAACAACCCGCTGGTCACTCAGCTTCTACAGGGCAAAGAGGTTCCACTGGAGCAGATCCTTCCAAAACCGCTGTCTAAGGTGGAAGTGAAGATGTCAAACTTGCCCTCTGGTAGTAAGAGTAAAACATCTCAGTCTGCAGACCACAGGGCGGATAAGCAGATGTCTCAGCAGTTCAGTGCAGCCGGTCGAGTTTTGTCAGAATACACAAAACATCACAGGGAACTTCCTGACAAAGAAACACAGGAGCAGATTCTACAGGCTCTAATGCAGAGGAAAGTCCAGCAGGGCCAGCCTTATCGAGGTTTGGCGCCTCAGCCGCCTCAGTACAAAGTACATCAGCTGATGCACGCAGAAGAGCGTCTGGACCAGTCCAGGATTTCTGTCGGCTTTTTGGGTAGAAAGAGGATGCCGAGGCCCGCCATGACCGGACATTACCTGCTCAATGTGTCCACCTACGGAAGAGGACCAGAGAGCAAGAGACTGCACCTGTCTGTCATCCCCAACACGTCTGTATCCGGTTTAAAAAGGGAAAGCACAGACGGAGAGGAGGCGGCCAAGGAGGAAGAATCAGCCAGGAAAGTTTTCTCGTCTGTTTCTGGGGTGAAAACGGAGCAGCAGGGATGCTCAGTGACCAAGTCGGACGACGTAGCGAGCTTTCAGCGCTACTCCAGCGTAAAGACTGAGCCTGGATTGGAGGACAGTGCAGCTGCCGGTGACAACAGCAGCACCAGCGCGACAGCCAAAGACACCAGCCCTTTCTCTCAGTCACACCGAAGGCACCTCGAACTCTGCAATAGTAATCAAGGAAACTCTGAGCCATATCTCACCCACGTGGACCCCAGTCACCAGCGGCCGACTGCCTTTCAAACCCAGAGAACACTCGATAATCAGGAACCTGTGGTAGCTTCATGCTACGGAGGCACCATCAGCATGTCCGTACCTCACACTTTGAACCACGGCACTGCAGGCACCGGCTCTTCCACGTCCTCGTCGGAGGCAGACGGCAGTGGCGTCCACGGGAGCGTCATGTCCTTCTCAGTGACCGTCACCACCATACCCGCCGGTCACGCGTTAGACCACGGCAACCAGGGCGAGCCTTCCCCCGAACAGTCATTCATTGAGAGCTCCAACATGGAGGACGTCCAATCTAAATGCTACTGCCGACTGAAGGCGATGATCATGTGCAAAGGGTGCGGAGCCTTTTGCCACGATGACTGTATCGGCCCCTCGAAACTGTGCGTGTCGTGTTTAGTGGTACGGTGATATGAAATGAATAATAACTACAGAGTCTCATGGTTTGATTTGTAATCGCGGCACAAAGCAGGTCATTTAGAATCAATACCGAAAGAGGCGAAGCGTGTTAGCCGTGCTTCAGACAAAACAGCCAGCATCTGGTCGCTGTTGGAAAGGCAAGGATTTACACTGGATGGTCTTGTTTTTCCACCAACATCTAAGAAAAGTTGTTTTGTGCAATTTGTGTAGTAGAAATGCCAATCCGTTTTCAATCAGATTAGTCGTCTGTCAGATGTGAGAGAAATCTAAAGTCTGACAATGTTTGCACTCGGCTAGATTAGTGTGATATATTTTTTTAAATATATATATATATATGTGTGTGTGTAGTTTTTAAAAAAGGAGGGAAAATGAATGTTGCTATTTTTTTAGAACATAATGACTGTTGTTGTGCTTTAGACTGACACTTTTTATTATTGGGCCTAATCAGTTATGGTTTAAAGGCAAAAAAAAAAAAAAGGACGCTGATGATAATCATTGGTTGTAGAGTACCTCCTATTTGGCATTTATGCACGCGTGGCAGGGAAGTGCAACTTACAGTAACTATTTTATATATTAAACTGTACATTTATTACTGAACACACTCAGATTTAAGAACTAGAAAGAACATGTATAGTTTTAGTAAGACAATATAAAATGATTTTTGAACGATACTTTATAAAAATCAACTCGTGAGGATTGCACATCACATCATTTTTTTTGACTAACAGTTACAGGGCGAAGCACTTGAAGACCACCTGGATATAAGACAGTAACTGTGTACAGCACTTAAATTCAAACATAGGGAAAAGAAGAATCATTCATATATATAAAACGCCTATATATAAATACATATATATATATATATATTCCTTTTGGCAAACTGAGATCTTTTCCATTTCAGGTGAAGGTCTTAAGCCACTTCCTACTGTGTAAACCTGCATTTTCTCCACAAAGAGCTGGTTTGTAGATAAAGTCTCGCTTGAAGTGGGGTTTCTCATGCTTGTATGTCTGTATAGGTAGATCAGCAGTGGCAAACTTCAAAAAAAAAAAACAAGAAAACACTCAAGTCAAGGAGAGAAAATGAAGACATTTTTGTTTTTTCACTGTAAATACTTGCTCATTCATGGTATTTGCCTAGATGTAGAAATTAATGTTATTTTATTCTTGCAACACACCTTGCTTGAGCTTAACCGGCTATCATTTATGGCAAAATAATTTTTTACTGTGCAAAGAAAACAGAGAAGAACAGTAAATTATGCTAGAACGCTAAATGCTGTGTCAAAGGATGACTCAGCGTAGCGTGCGTCGGTCTTATTTGGAGGTACAGTAGGCCACCGATTAATAGGCGAGTGTCACGCTTCTCGTTAACATGGCCTTTTTCCTGGTAATTGAGAGTTTTTCTCCATTTTTTTTAATGTGGTATGAAGTATTGTGCGCCCAAAAAAAGTCCTGTTTCTTTAATGCACAATAGTGTGTATGTGATGTACAGCACACTGGTGGTGTGAACACTGTTGTTACAACCTTTTGTAAGCACGTTCTGACGATGTTAACGCAACACAATGCTTACTTTACCACCGGTTAACGTGTAAAAAAGGCCAGTGTGAGTTGTTACCTCAACAGGTTATTCGAGTGTTGGTTACACAAAAAAAAAGAAAAAGAAAAGACGCATCAATTATATTTCTCCTAACGGTGCAAAACAGGCCTGTTTTATAGCAATTATTTCCAAGGTAATATGCCAAAGTCACCTTAAAGAAAACACGAATAATCAGAAGTTGTTTTTAATGTCTGACTAGTTAATCAAAGTAATATATTTTAATTAATATATTTTAATATAAAAGATCTATTTGCTAATTGTTTTTGACAAATCAACAGGGTATTTACTATAATAATATATTGGCTGTCCGTTTTTTCCTATCATTTTGTTTGGACTGGACAGACCACCATGCAGAATAACTTGACTTTGTAATTCAAATTGCCCAGGTATCTGATGTTCTGTATGGCCCAGGTTTTTGCAATCAATCCGTTGGTCTATATATTTCCATGAAAATGTTGTAACGTGTGTATCCTTATAGTTTGTGTCATTACTTTATAAAAAACAAAAATGTACGTTCTTAAAGCACCACTTATTTTTTTTTTTTTTAAAGTTAGTGAAATAATCCGAGTCCATTCTTAAATGTATTCTTATTGAATTGGGGTGTATGTCTTGTGGAAATTTAGGGTTAGAATCTGGAAGGGTTCCCACATATTTAGCGTTGACATTTCACTGAAACTGGTTCACCAGTATTTGATTTTGTTCAAACACAATTTATGTATCTCCCCCCCTCAGTAAATATTTAGGTTTTATTTGGTTGAATGTGATATTAGAATGCTGTATTTACTCATGTAGAGGTGGGGACTGGATTGCACTGCAAAAAAAAAAAAAGATAGCAAAAATATTCAATCACAACCCTAAAGGCAGCTGAAATCTTTGTTAATAAGGACTGAAACATGAATCAGGCAGCAGTCCCCACTATGACTAAGGTTACCTGTTGATGTGCATTTAGAAGAGCAGTTCATGTTCAATGGGCTCGTGTGTGGGGGGGGGGGGGGGGGTCATGGGCAGTCACCACCGTTTTTAAAATGTCACGTTTGGCACTAGGTGAATTTGTTTAATATGTCTGTGTCATTTTGTCTCCATTTAAACTCCGGGTGAATGTAATATAGTAATCAGCACTTGTAAACAAAGTGTATTTTATCAAAAGTTATAGACTATTATGAATAAATAATGAAAAGAAAAACTGCATGTGTTTTGTTTCTTCAC